ACGCGTTTGACCTCAAGGGTCAGACTACGTTTTATTTTTTCCAAGTATCATAGATTACATTCACTTACAGAGCTGCACCCTCTACCTAACCTTCCCTCCCTTGAGCCTAAAAAAAAAAGGAAGAAGTACTTATAAAGTTTAGTTTTATGATTTTTTTTCTGATTAGCTGCTCATAGACCCATCAAGTTACGTGACCTTTCATAAGGCGCGTATCACTCGGAACAAGCACTCGCCTTACTTGTATGAATCTTCGTATAACAAAGATTGCTTCAAGTTTTTATTTTTCCCGCGCGCAGTGCGAAAACGAAATGTACTACCGGAAAATGCTGTATCAGTCCATGATTCTGAGTTATTTTGACCTTATTTATACACAACATAACTATTTGTATATGCCAATATATACTCGTTTGTGTATTGAATGCCACTTATTGTTTATAATGTTTGTATATAGTGTCTAGCCTTTTTGCGTGGGCTTTGATTGCTGTATTGTAGGCATTAACTTGGACTGATTGCATGTCAAATTAAAACAAAAACGCAAATGTTTTTAATTCTTACGTAAAAATTAGCAGACGTTACTTGTTATCGGTAACGGTAACGCATTCATTTTATTTTGAGGTTACGTAGGTCGGTAATGCGCCCCTTTTATTTTCAGGTAACGAGTAATGTATTTTGTTTCTTTTATTTCAGTAACGTTTACAATGCTGCCGTAAGCGCGTGCGCTGCCCGGCGAATCAAACCAATTTTCTTCTCTTTCACCGGCGACGAGACATTCCTGGTAAAGTTGCGCGAAACATCCTTGATAGGGGTAAACTACGGCCACTCGTTTAGATACGTTTCAAAGTAACGACACCTCCCTAACCTCGTTGCTTAAAATAATTTCTGGTAGCAATCTGAAGCTTTGTAAGAAATTGCAGGAAGCGCCTTTGTGCTGTTTCTCCTATTTAGTTGCAAATTTTCGAGAAGCACATAAATTAATTTCCTTTTTATTTAGCTAGTCAGGTGCTCAATTTGCAATCTTGCACACAACGCGACACTGTTAAAACAAGAAGCGACCACCGAATTTTTTTCTTTTCTTCTTAAAATTGTTGGCAACATTACAGTATGGTGGAATGCACCCGTTAGGGGTACTAACCTAAGAGGTAAAGTTTGATGCTCGCTAATACCACTTCTAAGTAAAATTAAAAAGAAAAAAGTAGTGCCGATGTCGTGTTTGCGTTAACAGTGTCGCTCAGTGTGCGTGCAACCGGCAGATCTTAACAACTTATTTCTTAATGTGTTCAATGGGAACGTGGGACCCATTATTTTTTTTTCCGCATGTTGAACAAATCCCTCGAACGTGATCAAACATCAAGAGCACTTGAAATAATCACGGTAAGATCGAGCCCCGACTCAAAATGTATAAAAGCGCTTCTTCAAGGATTGGCTGAACATCGCTTTCAATCGAGCCGTCGAATGACGCTCTGTATATCGGGCTCGGGTCCAATTGCCAAGTTAGCGCCACGCGATGACACTACAGCGTTCCATGGAAGAAGATGAGGCTATTCACAGGCTGCGAGTATTACAGGTGGTGGTTGCTCTGGTTGTGTTCAAGGTGTACACTCTCCGGCGATATGAAAGACCCACTGGGAGCGCGTGGTCGAGGTGGTGGATGGCGGGGGCGCTGCGAGCGCTCCGGGCGATTCCATTCTGCTTCGAGGGGAGGACGCTCACTCGGGCTCAGCTAAAGCGAAACGCGCTTATCAGATTGTGCTGAGCCCCGAGTGAGCATCCTCCCCTCGAAGCAGAATGGAATTGCCCGGAGCGCTCGCAGCGCCCCCGCCAGCCACCGCCTCGGCCACGCGCTCCCAGTGGGTCTTTCATATCGCCGGAGACTGTACAGTTCGTAAGCGGCACATCGGATTTTTGCCGGATCAGTGAAGCGACATCAGACAGCGTCAACGCGGGGATAAAGTTCGTCTGCTTCTTGCGCAGGGGTTGTGGTGACGTCAGAAGGACGCCGAGTTCTGATTGGCTTTGATTGGAAAGATTGTGGGTAGACCTCAGTGCTAGATGCCTCAAGGTCTACCCACTGTTTTTGTTTTCTTTTTAATCATCTAATAAGAGTTTTGCGTTCTGACATCATCACAATCTCGTGTGCAAGAAGCAGACGAACTTGCGCTCCGCAAACAAGTCAGTCGGAGCGCGAGGCGATTTTGTCGACGAATTTTGAGCATTGGGAAAACCAAAGGGACCCAGAAGAATTACGACGAAAGCCGCGGTCACACACTCGCTAATAAATCGTACAAAAGACGTTCTGCGGGCACTGTCTGAGGTGCCTTTCTGCCTTGTATATACAAGGAGGTCACAATTTGTCATACGAGAACTGTATGAGCAGACAGAGACAAAGCATGCGTATGCATGGAGCGACCACATGCTTCGAAGGTGCCTAAAGCATGTCGGCATATTTTTTCTTTTTCTTTCTTTCGCCATGTTTCCTGCAAACACCGCGTGTTTTGTATGATTTATACGAGCAGTCCGAGTGCGGCTCAAGGACGAACGCCTGAGACGGTCACCGACAGACGCGTGACTTATCGTACGGTCGCGGTTGTTGCTCCGTGGATTCGTCCTTCGGCGTGCTTGTGACCACCGATGCCGCAGCCTCATTGGCTTCAGAGCGGTTGAGAAGGCAATTCTCAGAGCACACACTGCGTTTCTAACGTCTTGGTGACTATATGGACCACTCCAAGAATCGCCTTCTGCGTGTTACAATCTTTTATTCGCCGTTGAGGAGCTCGTGTCGCAGAAAAGTCGGCGTCGGTGGGACGGGAAAATCCTAATTGGATCGATAGGGTGACGACGTCACCACCACATGACCTCGCGCGGGAATTTCGAACAGCCCACGACGCTCACGTGAAACGGGACGTCACGGCGGGAACGAAAATTATTAAAACATCGCATGTAACGCGAATTAAAGGTAGCTGCATCGCTCAAATGATTTCTATTTTATAAAGTAATCTACTTGGCCTTAAAAAAGCAAGTACTTTAGATGGAATTCGAAGCCACAACCTTTCGGTTGCGAGCCAGGCACGCTACAGACTAGGCCACGCGAGGCACGCTTGCGCGGCTTGGGAACGAGTGGGAGCTCATACGTTTAGCTATCGCGTTCCACTCTTAAAGGAGAAGCTTAACCGTCATACTGTAATTTTTTTCTACTGTGCTGGAGAAAGCGTCTCGGGCATGCGAGGTATCTCTCTCTGAGAAATGTCAGACACCGCGCATCCGTCCACAGACCAGTAACTCGCCATTTTTCGCCGGGGCGAAAGAAAAAAAAATGCGAAAAGTCCTAGAAAGGCGTATCCCATACAAAAATGTAATATGATCGGCTATAGAAAATTCTTTAAATGGTCGGCTTTAGCTATTTGGCCCACTTAGCTCAAGAATTTTCTATGGCAGTCTTTAGCATTTTTATGGTCGTCTTTATTGGCTTCTTTGGCTTTGTCTATGGCCCTATCACTGTCCAGCCATAGAGCTCTTCAGCTTTTCTAATGGCTGGCTCGCTATAGCCGGCATGCTATAGCTGCCTATGGCTTTTCCTTTGGTGTCTTTAGCCATTTATATGGTCAGCTATATAAATATAGCTGTATGGGTTTTCCTATGGCTCTCTTTAAAAATTTCTTAGAAAGCACACTCTAAAAAAAATTTCTTTTCAAGTTCCCCCGACTTTTAAACGCTATGGTAGGTACACATACATCACTGAACGAACAAAATACGCAGAACACAAGCAGAACAACCCCCACACAACATCAACAACGCACCCGACACCGCACCTCCTCCCCTCTCTACGTACGCGAAGTTCGCACTACCTCTATATATGGCAGTCTTATTTTTGAATCCGACTTGGCCGGTGACGGCCGTGAAGTTGTCGCATAAACACGGAGAGGCGGAGCAAATATTACTCGTACTTAATACATTATTTGAAGTGTCTCATGGAATTGCCCCCTCTCTTAATTCAACACACTGAAAAAAGCAAATAGGTCATTAGGCTAATTAACTAAAATTTAATAATTATATTTTAATAGGTTTCATCAATCATATTGACAATGCAGTGAGGAAATGCAGTACACTGTTGCCGAAGATTGCAATCCAGCTATTGCTTGATTGCAGTTTTCGGTGCCAGTGTAATCTATTTTCACTTTTGGATGGTAATTAATTTTAACTATTGCAAAAGTATTTCAATAGATTTTTCAAACCAACAATATTACTGGTCTTCACGACTCGTTGCAACAGCAGAGAGCATATCTTGTGTCATGCTTTGTCACCGGTATTACAGAAATTTAGTATTGCGTTAAGTTTCTAACCTGGAGTGTTTTTTTCTAAAAAAGTAAGTGCCGGTAGTGATTTTTTATACGCGTGTAAAGAAAATGTATTGGTCCCTAGTCTTTAGACGCGGGGCCATAAATATTTCTACAGACGGGTAAAGGCAATTTTTCGGTTCCCAGTCCTTAGACATGGTGCCATAGAATGTTCTATAGGCGCATAAAGAACATTTATTGGTTCCCAGTCCTTAGACACAGCTAGGGCCGTATAATATTCTATAGGCGGGTAAAGAAATATTTCTGGTTCCCAGTCTTTAAAAGCAGGGCCATAGGTTTCTCTTTAGCTGGCTGTAGCTGTATTTATGAATTGCTATAGCCGACCATAGGGGGCCACAGGGGGCGATAGCCTGCCATATAATTTTTTTATAGACGACCATAGAGCATTTTTGTATGGGATAGAGTCTAGACCAACGCCCCGTTTATATATATGCCCTCGTTTTCCCACACCGGGTGTGGGCAGTGCGCATGCGCAGAACTTACGGAAGCGCCACCGGGGTGGCGTGACGTCATAAAGTTGAGAATAAAATCGGCGCGTAGAGCGGTTACGAGAAGGCCTCAAAGGAGCGCTTAAGATCACTGCCTTTGGGAGCGATGCCGAAGTGCTTTCTAAAGATGTTTTCTCTCTCTCTCTCTATCTGTATCCAGATGCGGTCTGCCGTGGCGGACCTTCCCGGTGAGCGCACAGATCATTTCCTGCTGCGATGGCTGCGAGGTGTGTATACTGTACACCCCTACAAAGAGATCCAGTGACTTCGACCGACGCGATTTTCGGCAGCGCATGATATTGCAGTGGTTCTGAAACAACTATACTCTGTCCCGATTATTTAGTTTCGTCTATTGCATTTCTAACGATGCTAAATCCAACTAGTGACGGCCATTGGTAGTCGAAGTAGGTTTAGCGAAGAATTGCTAAAAGAGTAATGAAAATTAATAAATTGAGCTACGAATGCGTGCGCCACTAAACTTTAGTATATTCCTAGGCAGATCAAGAAGAGCAAAAAAAAATAATTATGATATCTGTGAGGGCTTCCGACTGGAACACATATTGTACACGCTGACAAAAGTTGGCCACTTCAAGGTTTAACCTATGACTAAATAAATTGGGCGGCTTTACTGCTCTGATTTGCCGATTCACAGAGAAATTCCATGACATGGTGTTAAAGGAACACTGACAGCCCCCAAAATTATTTTTTAAATTTATTGCCAGGCGATTCAATATGGTGTTAGAAGACTATCCAATCAATATTTTGCTACAGCGTAACGTAAATTTTTAATAAAGTAAAAAAAAAAACCAACTGCTCGAAACCGAAAGCGATGCTGGACTGGGGAGGAAGAAGAAACATAGAGGAGGAGAGAGGTGGCGGGAGTCACGTGGCCGTGATGCTTTCCCCCTCCAAACAACGCATTTGCAGCTTTTCAGAAACCACAAAAAAATGGGTATCATATTTATTTTTTATTTTTAATATTGTGTGCGTGCCTTCGATAACCTACGACTTTGATAAAATTTGGTGGTTGTGTCTAAACCTTATAAAACGGCCCGTGACCACGGAAAAGAGAATGAGCGCGACTCAAACTGGCCAGTTCTCGATCGGTGGTTTTCGGGCGGAAAGAAACCTAATCTCGAGCAGAGCTGGCAGTAATGCAATTACTGTAATGAAATTACAGTAATTTAATTACTTGTTCCAGTAATTAGTAATGTAATTCATTACTTTTTGTAGCAGGTAATTTAGTAATGTAATGAATTACTGCAGCGAGGGTAATTGTAATTAAATTACCTAGTTGCTTTTTCGCACCAGGCATATTTTTTGTGTTCACAATACACAAGACCGCTTTTCTTTTTATTTTACTTTTTTTTTTCCTCTACACCTTTCCAAAAAACGCTCTTTGGCCGCCGCTATGTTGCTGATGCTAATGCGGCTGGTGCGACTCTCGCGCCCGCTATCAGCTAGACATTTTCTGCCACTCTCTTGAACTCTGAAAACCCGCTCAGCGCGATTCTCCACCTATGTTTAGCGGTTTTGCATTCGACGTTTTCTGGCCCCTCTTGACAGTTGCCGCTTACTTTTTCTGATGCATACTGCGTACCCTCTCTGTGGTATCTTCCACTGTGAGAAATAGGGCTGGTAAGTGCCTTCCATTCGAGCTTTTCTGCTCGACATTCTCGGGAAGCAAAAAAGGGGAAGTAGGTCGAACTAAGGCCCCTGGTGGAACGGCCCTCGACGCGATTTTGCGAACAATTACAATTGTTCTCCCGCCCTCCCACAGATAATCCGCGTAGGGTCCTCAGTCATCTCCAAAAATAGTTGTCCGGGTTGGGGTGGAAACGGATCCGTCGCGTGCGTTCCTCTGTCCATCGGTAAACATGCAACAGAGAGTTCTAGCTGTGTGCCATGAACTGTGTAAATAATGTAAAGTTATTTGTAAAAGGAAGTTATCAATAGCTCCTTTATATTTAAAAGTATACAAAAGTAATGCGAAAGTAATGTCATTACTTTTAAAAGTAATTTGTAATGGTAATTAATTAGTTTCTGGCTGTGGTAATTTGTAATGTAATTTAATTACATTTCAGCAATTTTCAGCAAAGTAATTAGTAATGTAATTTAATTACAAAATATGAGTAATTTGGCCAGCTCTGATCTCGAGCCGCAAATTTTGTTCTGAGTAGTTGGGCTCTCATGTGTGATGTGCAAATAAAAACCTTGGCGAGCGTAAATACTCTGTCAGTGTTCCTTTAAAGGGGCGGCGCTATGATATTCAGGTTGAATGTTTTTTGTTTTTTTTGTTTTTTCACTTTACACGAGCTCTGGCACCATTAATATTCAAGCAAAAACGCACGCAACGACACTGGCCAAGAAACTCCTTTGTTGAGGTGTAATTTCAAGGATAATAGGGAGCGTTTTCTTTCAATCTTTTCTTCGCAAAAGCTTGACGACGTAATTTCTAGTCCCAGTATCCTCCAGTGACGATATTTGAATGCGGTTCATAGATTAGACCTGAGCATCGCGTGAGCACTCGATTTGGGCTCGTGATAATCGATAGCTCGAGAAGCATTCGGGTAGTGGCCCGTCTTCAATCAGTGAAATGACGACAATAGCCGAACTATAACAATGTCTGGAACTTAGTACGTGACCTCTGCCTTGCCAGCCCCAGCCGTGGCTATGATCAACATTGGCGGTATAGAATCGACTCCAAGCACGTCGCCGCTTGTTCTGGATGCGAGTTGAGGGAATCAACGCTGCTCGTTTTTTTTTAAATTTTTCTGCGACTTCGATTGCGTGTGATCATGGTGGAAGAAACACATTTAGGGGATGGTTCTCCGTCCGACGCGGCGGCCACATAACGTTTGGCGCACCGAGCTCGCTTCACTCGCACGGGGATAGATGGCGCCCAAGTATGGGGTCCCTCCCAAACCGACCGCTCCGGTTGTTTTTCCCAGTGGTGGTCCCGCATTCCCTCGCTCATGGCTTCTAGCTGTACCTTACCGCCGCCACGCTGCCACCAGGTCGCCAGAGTCCGTAAATAAGTGTTCTCTATTTCTTCTTCTTCTTCCGGTTAAGGCTTATTCTTCTTCGGGTTAAGGCTCACCTTCGTGCACGATGGTGGCACCTGTGCTCGACACAGTACCAAAGCAAAACACGAGGCCAGCCACTGGCCCCACACCAACACCACACCACCACACCGTGAAAAAGGTGAGCACGCTACGCCACCAACACCTTGGCCGCCGAGGAGGGACCCTATACCGCAGCGCCTTCCGCGGTGGAGGGGTACTAACGATCGTGTTCAGAGGCTAGCTCCGAATACGATCTGTTCGCTCACTCTCCACGTGAAGAGCGGTTAGTGGCATCACCTAAATATGTTTCTTCCATCGTGGGTTTGGTGAAAAACGAACGGCTGTTTCACAGGCCATTATTATCAGGGATCCGTTCTAAGCGGTATGTGTGCAAAGTACAAATCTAGCTGCATCGCCCCTTTAGTAATAGGAGCATTAATATATAACATATATAAATATAGAAACTTGCTACTGTACACTAAGCAACATAAACAAGAAAAGTTTACGTCGCTCTTGTAATATTTTACTCGTAGAAAAGTGAAACAAAATTGTTTTATTTAAATTGCATTCGCTCGGAAGCATCGAAACCGAAGGAAGCGCCCTATTGTCACTTGAACGAAGCTTTTGTACAAATAAGACCATTTCATTTTCAAAAGTTTCCTTTTTTGTGGTTGTAGGTCGTACAACCCAGGAGTTGTAAGATATATGTACTGCTGTAATAATCAGCAATTCACCCTCCACGCAGCCAGACATCTCTCATTGAAGGTTAACTGCATGGACCGTGTCGGAAGCGTTGTTACAAACTATGGTCACTCTCTTTTTGACTCTTTGCTCGCAGCTCGAGACTTCGACGTGTCCAAGGCCGAAAATATGCTTCGACGGGTGAGTTCGGCTTGACAAACCGACGTCTGTCCTGTTTGCAACTCCTCAAAGTATGTCTTTCTGGGAACGATCAAGGAAGATTGAGGCGATCGTCGTCATGTACTTTCTTACACCGAGCCGCCACTTTCACTCTTGTGGGTTGGGGACCACGTTTCATTTTCAATGATCGTTGTAAATTCTTCACACCAAAGGTTATTCACTGAAATATGCTCTAAATTGAAAAGAGATAAAAAAAAACTTAAAAAACGTTATTAGTGATGTTCACAGGCGACATATCTTGCTGGAAACCGGCAATTATTCGCGACCCATCAAAACGTACGGCACCTAAGGGGAGAACACTAAACTGCCCGAAACAAATCCTTTTGCGATTTCTGCTAATCTCTTGTGGCTTCCGCAAGTGAATGCTCTCGGTGGTTAACGCGATAGCACCGAAGTAAAGCGAGGGAAGTGGCGTTGGTTCTGTCCACAGTTACGAAAATGGCAACAACGACTGCGTGAAAAACCGTGACTCATAATGGCTTAACTAATTAGGTGCGCCTTGCAATGCTTCTCATGTTGTGTAGGCTGAACAGTTGTCCCGGTGACTCTGTTGTTACTATCTTATGAGCGTGTTGCTAAAATCTCTCTGAACGCAACTTATGCAACTTCGTGAACCAGACATTGTGCATTTATCAACGTTCATCAACATTGTAGAAGGACAGTAGGTAGTCTCTTCATCGCATCCCCAAAGAATGTTAAGCATCTGGAAGCTCGCTTACACAAACACACCGCCAAGGCTTTGAACGTATTGTATAAAAACCTAGGAAAACCATTTTGCAGTCAATGCTTGTACGTTGACAATCGAGCGGTGTGCTGGCACATCACACGGCATGACCTGTTTTCGCCAGCCATATTTGTCGAGAGTGGTAATCCCTATAGGTCGTATAAGTGGCGAATATTAAAAAAAAAAAAAAAATTATATATATATATATATATATATAAGTTTATCAATGTCATTTTACATGTTTAAAATAGAATAAAAATATTTTTATTTTTAGTTAGCCTAAGTTTAGGAAAAGTTTATACCGGCCCATTCATTTAGGAAGATGAAAGGTGTATTCTCAGCCCTAGTATGCCGCAGTTGTGGCAATCTTTCTGCGTGTGAGGCGTGCTGCAGCAGCTTCAACCTGCCAGCCTTCCTTACATTCTAAGCTACTACCACACGGTCTGGGCTTCTGATATCTGAGAGATGGTTGACTCGAGTACGGGGAGTCCTAATCGAGAGGCCGTGACTCGAGAGACAACAGCGAGTTTTAGTAGACCGTGTATCCCTCTCCGCTATGCCTCTCCGCTACCCGGAACTCAACAGCCAAGGCCATCGGCGCGCAGGCGCAGTGGCGGTTTCTTCGTAGCGGAGGGCTAGCGGAGGGGGAAACACGGTCTACTAAAACTCCGTAACATGAGAGCGAAGCGAAGCGAAGCGAGAGCGCGTGCCATGAGAGCGCGCGACATGGGAGCATGTGCCCGCAGTGGATAGTTTCGACGAGTGTATTCGCGACTATACAGTTGCATAAGGGGTGACTTTTCTATCAGTAAGGTAGCATTCGAAATATGTTTGGCTTGCCCAATTAAATCACTCGGCAGTTCTGTGCGTGGTTTACAGAGATTCACCTCGAGATGGAACCGTGTCGCCACCGTGCGGCCGAAATTGGAAACATGCGAAGGCGGAGAAACCGCCGGGCGTCGTCTGCTACGGGCGCACGTTCAGAAGCATGAATCTCGACGCAAGCCCGTTTCCGGCTGATCTGGGCCGGAAATTAGTAAATGTTTGATGGTTTTCTTTTTTTTTCCCTTTTACTAATGGTTGGGTTGTATAGATTCACACGCGCGAAAATTCAGCAAAGCGATAAACATTATATCGGATGCTTCCATAATCTTAGTGCTGTAGTTTTTAGAACTACTGGTCCTATACATACTTCGTTATCTCGCAAATCCATGGCTTTCATAAAACGTTGACTCTTGATTGGAGCTAGGGGTTAATTAACAAATACACCCGACTGATCGCCACCCCCTTTAAGATACTAATCGATCAATACATTCGTGAATTGATTATTATCCAGTTATATTACACGAAAGACGTTGAAACTACACATTTTTTACTTTTTCAGTACTATGTAATAAATGGTATAGGGAATTCCCACCTTAAACTTCGCGTTGAAGCCTTTTAAAGCCCACGGAAAGGGAAGCCTTTTAAAGTGAAATAATTTTGAAGTTATTATTGAAACAGTATAATCACCCTCGATGACAATCACAAGCGTGCTGAAGTGGTTTACCGTGCAAGCTTGTGTCCTAAAAGAAATAGATACGTCGGAAATATTAAAGGGGTTATGACACGCCGAAAAGGATATAGGAGATAACAGTAGTGCGAGGACCCACTCTATGTTCCTCTAGTCCCTGCTAAATTTGTCATGAAAATGGCGCGATAGTTTCGTGGATAAATCAATTTATATACGGGTCCCTCGGAGAAGCGGAGCTGGAGGCTGGCTACGTAGCCAGCCTCCAGCGCGGAGTCCGTGACGATTACGTCTACGGCATCACTCGCCTTGTCAAAGTGTTCGACATTGATCGCAGCAGCGATGAGAGTGGTTGTTATCCAGAGTTGTTGGAAGCTGTTCATTTTGACTGCGACCCACTCCTGCGATGGCGAGTTACGGACGAACTCGCCGTGGTCACCGTCGCCCGAGAATATCTCGCAGGCGCGTGCAGGGTGGAAGGTCAACGGGCCGGGGGTGAGAGCGAGAACAGCGTTCGGGTTACCGAGTTGCGTGAGCGGTTTTGATTGTATCGCGGCGAGTAGAGCTTGGGTGATCATAGGGCGCCTAGAATGAGAGAACGTTCATCATCACGTGGTTTATGGTCACCATGGTGTGACTAACTTGGGCAGTGTTGCCTAATCGCCAGATAAAAATGACAAAAAATCGTAAAATTGATTGTTACAATTACCAGAGCTAGGAAAATCGCGTAACTTGGTGCCATACTAAGTAGCCTATGAGCATTCCATTTCAAGAATAATCTATTCGTTTCATTTTCGTGTCATAACCCCTTTAAAGCAGGCTTTTTTTATTGTTGTTTCTTTTTCCTGATTTTTTTCAGCACAATATTTCGTTTAAATGGCAAAAAGAAATATTGCGATTAAATTATCACTTGATTACTCTGAAGGTTGATCGATGAACTGTCCAGTCCCGATTTGCGTTAGGCGAGGGAGGAGGGTGATCGGAAAGTCTCGTGAGTGTCGCTAGCCCTCATCAGTAAAAGAGTGTCGCTGCAGCCGATGCTGTCTCTGTCGTGGTGCGGGTCGCTTGTTGAAGTTCCATAATTCACTATGTTTGAATAGAAGATTATTTAGCCATACATTTATAATACTAGCCTCTTGAAATACGCGGCCCTCGCCTAGAAAATTGAAGCGGGTGTTCCCACGCTACCGGGAAAAGTTTGTAATAACACGCACTCTAGTGCGTTGCTCGGTTAGACTCGTTGGTTCCTCTCGCGGCATATATATTAGAATAGTTTGTTTCACTTGTCCCGGCCAACGGACAGTTTGAGGATCGTAACTAGAAGAGGCACTCTCTCCTCATCGCAACGTAGTAGAATTGTTCCGGCTCCGAAAAACTTATCCACACCATGGCACACTAAAGAAAAAAGTTAAAGCCGTTTACAAATCCCTGTAACGCCGAATTAGAGCGCAGCTCTTGAGGAGGAGGAGGGAAGGGTACTGGGGGGGGGGTCAACTGACCGGAGAGTCACGTGACATTGGGGGGTCACGTGACCTGGGGTTCACGTGACGATGACAATGCCGATGATGTCATCAGTGACGTCACTGATGACGTCATCAGTGACGATGACGATGCGGATACCAATGACGTCAATAGTGACGTCACCGATGACGTCACCGGTGACGATGACGATGCGGATTCCGGTGACGACATCAGTGACGTCACTTATGATGTCATCAGTGATGACGATGCGGATGTCGGTGACGTCATCAGTGATGATGACAATGACGATGCGGATGCCGGTGACGTCATCAGAGACGTCACTGATGACGTCATCAGTGACGATGACAATGCGGATGCCGGTGACGTCATCATCAGTGAGGATGACGATGCGGATGCCGGTGACGTCATCAGTGACGATGACGTCATCGGGGGTCACGTGACTTCGGGGGACCACGTGACCTCGGGGAGGGGGGTCACGTGACCTCAGGGTGGTCACGTGACCCTGTCACGTGACCTTGGGAGGGGTCACGTGACCTTGGGGTAACCTTGGGGGTCACGTGACCTTGGAGTGACCTCAAGCCGGAAACGGGCGCCAAAGAGCTGCGCTCTAAAACATTGGCCGCAGCGGTACTCAATAGCCCGGTAATTTCCAACACAGCCCTAACTTCTCTTCATGCAAAATATTTATCTGAAAAAGCTAAAAGTTACAAAAACAAAAATGCACAGAACCTGCCATTTCACAGCACACAGTACCAGTATTATTGGTTAAACTTCACTGTTTTGTTGAATTCCCACGCTGGTGAACCGATCCACCTATTTTAAAAGAAACAAAGTTCTAACATTAAAAAGTGCAGTTCACCCGGAGACAGGCATCCGTCGTGGTGATCAATACTTCCCAACGTCCGCCTAGAGCAGACGACGCATCCACACCAACTGTTATTTAAATTTAGGCCGTACGCTGGTAACAGGATTCGATCATCACTGAAGCATCGAACAGTGCCGCACCATTTTCCGCTAAAATTGTTTTCTCACCGATACTATGCGATAAATAAACGCAAGAATGTACATGCGAACATGGAGAGCCTATGGGGCAGCCATGCTTCTATCCCTGCTTTGATGATGATGATAGCGCAACAGTAGCGCCACCTCTAAGTCCATCTCGAGGCCAATAGCTGTTACGGGCCTTCCCAACCACTGGTAATGTCGTTAGTCGTAGTTGTTTATGTTGCAGTTGGCGATGCAGGG